ACTTGATAAAAATACAAATTATAGTATAAATAATTTATACTAAAAAGTATTAAACTACTAGATATTAAAATTTTTATCTATTCTAAAGTTAAAATCAATCTAAAGTTTAACTATAAGTAGATCTATATATTAAAATTTTTATATTTCTAATACAAAGTCTTGTTTAATGATTTTTTAGGAATTATATACAAAAGCAAGAGAAATTAAATAAAAATAAAAATTACTTAGATATCTTTTTATAAAAATAAAAAACTAAATTTAATTAAATATAATACTTGAAAAATAAAATAAAATTTAAAATTTAAAACTTTTTAATTATTAAAATTAATAGTTTATAATTATTTAAAATAATTATATTGAATTAAATTTAGCTTAAAAAGTATTATAGCAGAGATTTAAAAATTATTTTAATTTAGTTAATTTTAATTTAAAAAAATTAAAATTATAAAATTATAAAATTATAAAATTATTTTTAGAAGGCTATTTCCTATTTGGAACTAGCTTACTTTTCAAACTAATCTAACTTCAAAGTTTAATATTATACTATTAAGCTAGAAGTATTTTTTTTTAAAAATAGTTTAAGATAAAAAATTTATATAATAAAAAAAATTAAAAAAAATTAAAAAAAAAATTTTTCAGCTAGGGATTGAACTCAGGTACTTAAATACTTATAATATTTATATATTTTTTAATTGAATAATAGCTTTTCAAATGGTATATTGTTTAAAATAAAAATTTTTTATTTTTTTATATATCTTTTTGTTTTTATTTTTTTTATTTTTAAAATAATTTTATACTATTTTAAATTAATTAAAAATTATTTTTAAAAAAAAGTTTTAAAATTTTTAAATTATTTTAAAAATATTTTATAAACATTTAATAATATTTTAATAATATTATTTTTAATTATTAAATATAAATTAAATTAAATTCTAATTATTTAATATAAATATAAAATAACTAAATATATATATATATAATTAAAATAATATAAAATGAATTTATATCTATTAATTATAAATTAATACTATTTTTAATATTTTAAAATAATTTAAAAATTTATATTATTTATATATAAGTATTATTTAATTTAAGATAGAATATAGTTACTTTAAATTTTACTTGTATAGGCTATCTATATATAAGTCTAAAAAATATAATTCTATCTATAATTTTACTCAAAGTCTAGTCTATTTATTACTATCCTGCTCTTAAACAAAAAAAATAGAAAAGTTTTATTACAAAAAGTAAAGAAAAAATTTTTTACTTTAAAGTTATTATATACTAGAAAAAACTAAAACCACTTACTAGAATATTTAAATACTATTAAGGTAATATTAAAAATATAGTTACTACATTAAGAAAAATAATATTAATAAAAAATACTATAAGACTAGAATAATTTTTTAAAAAAAATACTTTTTAAAATCTTCAAAATCAAAAAAACCAGACTCTGGTTTGTAAAAAAACTAAAAAAACCCAAACTTTAATTTTTTTTATTACTTTTATTATTTTCATTCTATCTATTTTTATTATTTTCTTTGTATTACACTATTATTATCTTTTTTCTTTTATTTTAATAAATAATATCTAATATTAGCTTGATTAATTTTAGAGTAACTTTTAAAAACTTAATATACATTTTATATATTTTAACTATAAATTTTATTATAGCTTTAAAGCTACATGCAATATAAATAACTAAATAAACAATACTTAATATTATTAGAATATATTATTTAACTATAGATAGAATTTATATTTTGTACTAGATTTTTCATCTATATTTTATATAGAAATAATAGCTAAATTTTAATTATTAAGTTTAAATATAATTCCAAAAATTAATTTTAAGCCTTTATAAATATAAAATTTACATTTTAAATTAAATTATGATAGATTTAAAAAATACTTTTAAATATTTATATAGTTTTAAAATATTCTAAAAGTATTTTATATTATTTAATATAATTTAATATTATTATCAAGCTATTAAAAACTTTAAATTAAATATGATATTATAAATAAAAATTCAACTTTTTACTTGAATATACCCCTAAATTCAATACTTTATAAAAATATACCTATTAAATGTACTATTTACTATGATATATCTACTAAATAATAAATTACTATTATATACCTTAACATTTTTCACATAATTACTATGATATATCTTTATGGATTGTGTAAATAAAGTTTTAATTTCTAGTATAATCTTATCTACAGTAGAGCTTTATCTGGGTTAACTATCTCCAACTATGTACCCTTATATTAAAGTTAATATAAAATTTTCTACAATCCTAAATACTAAAAATGCTGTTTTAGCATAGACTATATACTATGATAAATTATTCAAGATCAAAAAAGTATTATCTACTATCTGGCTAATGATTTATTATGATGATTCCTGTCCTTTTTGCATTAAAATTAATATTTACAATGGATAATTAAGAATCTCAAAAAGAATTGACTATACCTGTCTACTAGAGACTCATTTTAACTTCTAAATGATCTATAGACAATTATATTTAGTATAGCAATATTGCAAAACAATTGTAAATGATTAGGAGACTAGACTTTAAACCATTGTTAGTCTTGAAAAAAGACAGGCAGGAAACTATATATCATATATGTAGACATGATAGACTAGAGAGAGAATCTATCATACTCTTGAAGGAGATGAGTGAGCAACTTACCACTATATTCCTTTACTATTTGTATTGATAAAGGGAAAAAAGAACAGTAATGAGTACTATTGTACTATAAAATATGTACTACTAACTTCTACTTGATTTGCAAGAGCCTTTATTGCTTTTAAATTAGCAATTGAAGACTTTTAAACATGTCAAGAGTTCATTGCACTAGATGGAACTTATACTTATAATTAGTATTTCATAATACTCATGTTAGCTATTACCATTGATAGAGACAACAATATGCTACCCTTGACATAAGCTTTGGTTAGAGTCAAAACACTTGAAAACTAGCAATGGTTTATGCAGTATCTCAAGGCTGCTTTTGACTATTTCAATGTCATTAATTTCTTTTCTTTGATATTTATTAGCAACAGAGACAAGGAAATTGTAAAAGGAGTTGAAACTTACTTCTTATATTCTTATTATAATTATTACTACTAGCATATAGTTAATAATGTTCAGCAGCAATATAGGCTGGCATGCTACAATCTCTTTTGAGGTACTACAAAAGTCTACTTGCAGTTAGCATTTAATGATGTAATGCAAAAGATTATACAAGAAAAGCTAGAATATACTACTTATTAGTATAATATACTACTTGAAAAGTAGTTCAATTACACATTTTCATGACTCTAGTATAACTATATAACCTCTAACATAATTGAATTTATAAACAATAAGCTATCTAAATCATGTAAAAAATCTATGCTTTAGCTATTGCAAGATGTCTAGACAATTACCATAATATATATCTATTAACAAGCACATAGTTAGCAAGAAAATCAATACTATATAGACTATACTATAACATACTTGAATCATAAAAATAAGAGAGCTTAGCAAATGTATGTCATATGCTTAGATACTGAGGAAGAAATAGTTGTTTTATCTAACAAAAACAGTTATATAGTTAGTCTAAATAGGGCAGAATCTACTTGTACCTGTAGTAGATTTTAGAATATAGATATATTCTGTCAACATGTATTGACAATATGCTATCATTAACACCTGAACTCATAGTCATTTGTTAGTTCTGTATATATAATTAATATATATAGAAACTACTTATAGCAGGCCTATAAAGGCCATCTAATTGAAAAACCTGTAGAAGGATATACAAATTCTCCTACCTATAACTTATTGTCTTAAAGAGTGTCCTAGAACAAGGTACTATTAGAGAGAGTAGCCAGGTGCTTAGCAGAGGCATTGTATATACTATAGGGATATATACTATAATTAAAAGACATGTAAAGCTATTATTAAATGATAGACCCTTACTAACTAGTAGAAAATTCTATTAGATAGCTAAATAGACTATATAGATCCTGTATTACTATAAAATTAGCCTCAATTTATAATATAGAATGTAAGGGTATACTATAGTAATTGTTAAAGATGAGGTATACTATAGTAAATAGTGCATTTAGTAGGTACATTTTTGTAAAGTATTGAATTTAGAAGTATACCCAAGTAAAAAGTTAATAAAAATTATATTTAATAATTTTAAATAATTTTATTTTAATTTTAATATATAAATATATTTTATATAATTATAAAATATATTTAAAAAATTTCAAAATAATTAGAGTATTTAATTTTAAAAATTAAGTATAAATTATATTAATTTTTAAATATTTATATTTAAGTTAAATAAATTATATATATATATATATATTTAAAATAAATATATATTAATCTTTATTTATTAATAATAAATTTATATAATTTATATAATTTTTTAATATTTTTAAATAATTTAAAAATTTATACTATCTACATGTAAGTAGTTTTTTATTCTATTTAATATTTTTGCATTAATATATTCTATAGTAGACTATTTATTTAGTCAAGTAAAAGAAAAATTTTAATTTTAAATAATTGTACTAATACTAAAAACTCTTAATATAAGATACTAGAAAAAATCAAGGTTAGTCAACTTTTAGTCTTAGCTTTTTATATATTATATTCTACTTTCAAGTACATATAAATCTATTTTAATTTATCTTATACTTATATAAACTTATTTTACTTTCAATATAACTTTTTAGTACTTAACAGTACCCTAGACAGATTGAACATTCTTTTCTGGCAGGATATTTGACTTGATCATAAAAGATAGTGGTTGCTCAGCCTTCTTGTATGAGAATTCCATACTATAACACTGACTAAAAGGTAATTTAGGTAACAGCTGTAGAGGTTCTACCCTCTAGACTGGAAATTAACATCAAGAATGGGAAGATCTCATGCATTGAATGGATCTGGTAGGCTCCGATGATACAAATGTCATAGACGCTGAAGGCACATATATTGCACCTGGGTAAATCCTTGGTCTCAATTTCCTCACCCCATAGGCTTTAGCTGACCCCCGGACAAAGTAGAGTCGATTTGCATGTGCATGTAGAGCAAGACAATGCTCCGACCGGTGACACCTGGAAAACGGGCTTGCAGTCCGCAGTTACAGGTGGAAACACGACCATCATAGCATTGGTAACACGAAAGCGTTACGTGGATAGCCTTGGTCAGCTTTGATGGAATATCATCGACGCGCCAGCAACAATGCCTATTGCAACTATGGGTTTCATTCCATTCTCACACAAACCGGACGGACAAAATTCTGCCGGAAGAATTTAAGTGTGAAACTTTATATGATGTACGAACCAATGAAGCTCGGTGACAGGGATATCTTGGGTATAACGATGCAGACAAGAAAGCTTGGGATGACAACTATGGTACATGCAGAGAATATTGATATGATTGATCTAATATTAAGGTCCGTCCATGTAACTATTAAATCCTTGTCATATTTGGATAGTGTTAATCTTTCTGGATACAGACGACTTGAAGAGCATGGACACACAGATCCATTCTTTCACTCGGTCGCGCGACCTCAAATCGCCGAGAACGAGGCTACATATCGTGTCATAAACCTCTCGGAGCGTACAAATACGCCTATTCTCATCCTACATATGTCGTTGCGCGCAGCAGCGAAGCATGTTGCCAAAGCGCAGAGACGATTACTTCCCGTTTACGCGGAAACTTGTCCCACCAATCCCGCAAACTATACGGCTTTGGACACCGCAAGGGTAGCCTGCTTCCTGGATTTGATGCTGATGTTGTGATTTGGTACCCTGACAACCAGTCCGGCTCGGATAATAAAATAGGGTTTACTATTCAGCAAATAAATCTCCATCATCGAATCGACTACACTCCGTTTGAAGGAATCCGGGTCAAGAATTGGCCACGGTGGGTTTTTTTGAGAGGAAAGCTTGTCTTGGATCGTGATTACAGTGGCGTAACTGGCGAAAAGGGATTTGGGCAATACTTGAAACGTGGTCCATCAAGTATAACCGTAGGAAGGACAGATACGCAAGCTGTGGGAACACTCAAAGGAGAACGAGACCCATGGACATAAGCTCCAAAGATTATGTCGAAATTAGTTGCATTCTGAAAAAGAAAACGGGGGCAATCCATATGCCTATTACCTTATTCAATACAAGAACGCCCCCCAACTTGGAAGGCTCATGGTGTCCCATTGTATCCAACCGGATAGTGGACAAATTTTTCTTACCTGACTGACTTTTCTCAAGCCAGAGCCCGGCTAGTGAAGGTACTGGAGCTTATTAGGAGCGTTCCATCCGATGTCGCTATCGCTCCCGCGATGTTTTGTTGGCGGCCTAAAGGTCAGTTATTCGCCGTCATCCTGGACCATGCAATGGATTATTGGCTGCTTATCTCTGCCCAGAGTCTCAGGATCAGTGCTATTAGCAAAAATATGCTCAACCTGACGATAACATACCATGTAGCGAAGCTGCCAAGCAATCGCTACCGTAATGCCAAGGAAGCAGATGTCCACGTCAACGAAAATTGAGGTTTTTTCTTTCTTTGTCTTTTTCTTTTTTTGGCGAAGCAATCATTATATATAAATATATATATATATATATATATTGCATGGTGTAGGAAAATTTGTGTGATTGCAAACCAATACTATTGTAAGTATCAGTGGATCTATTTACTGCGTTTACGTTTCAACATGAGCATAGTCCAGATTGACATGCTCGCACTAGCGGGCAATCCAAACTATTTCTCTACCTTAACAGCAACTAATATCACACAGCCAGCAATTTCACTTCTCTCGTACAATTCAGCTTTCGAGGCACAGGTTATTGGCCAGAATGCAACGGCAAGGAACATTGCTGACCTACCCTGGCAAGCTTTCCATGAAGCTGGCATTTATCATAAGGCTTCAAACTCACTTTATGTGACCTCCAATTTTGAGTCGATTGAGGACAACATCAACATTACAGTAGTCTCCCTCGAGGACTATTCAATTACATCGACGCAATTTCCGGACCTGTGGGAAGCAAATGGCGGCACGTCATACTACCCGCCTGGCTCCGACATGAGCCAGACTCCTCCTCAACAGATCTACTGTGATCAAGGAGACTTGAATCATTATTCCAGCCTTGTTGCTGTCGATCCTTCAACAAACATATCTAAAGTCATCCTGACAAATTTTCTTGGGCGCAATTTCTCTTCTCTCAATGACGTCCGCCAGCACCCATATACAGGTGATCTCTGGATAACAGATCCTGACTACGGTCATGTCCAGGGTCTCCGTCCTTTGCCCGTCTTGCCGGGACAGGTGTACCGATTCGAGCCCGGCACCGGGGTAATTCAAGTTGTAGCAGACGGCTTTGTGAAGCCGAATGGTTTGGTATGGCACATCATGCACTCCGGCTGTTCAGATAGCTTTCCAATATCAAACCTTTCGGCTTGACAGAAGCTGACATCTTTGCAATCACTAGGAGTTTTCACCGGACTATAAAACGGTCTACATCACGGACACTGGTGCTGTGCAATATAACCTAAATTTAACCGGGCCAAGTACCATATACGCCTTTGACGTCACCCCTGATGAGAAGCGTCTTGTGAATCGACGTGTATTCGCCTTCGTTGATAGCGGCATTCCAGATGGCATCCATACCGATACCGATGGAAATGTTTGGGCGAGCTGTGGTGACGGGGTACACATATGGAATCCCGAGGGCATCTTGCTGGGAAAGATCTTCGTTGGCGAGACAAGCAATAATTTTGCATTTGCTCCTGGCAAGGTGTTCGTATTTAGCAACAAACGACTATGGGTGGTTGAGAATATCAAGGCCCAAGGGAGGGAAGTTTGCAAGGACTTCGGTGTCGGTTGTTCGTCGCCACGTCGACATTGACGGCACATGGAATAACATGTGTTACCATCCGCGGGCCAAAATCTGGATCAAGTGACAATGCATTTACAGGAGAAACATATCAAGGCGCGGGCAAGGTTAATGGTAAGCTTATGGGCATCTATCCATAGTCGTCTGACTAGATGTCGTGAAAGAGAAAAGATAGAAGAGAACGGATTTTTTCGAGTTTAAGATATGATGGACAGCAACTTTTCAATTTGCCCCTGTGGTTTCCCGTAGAGACTGACAAGGGCTAAAAAATGCTGAGTAGCACTTACTTCCAAAATAATTTTCTTTTGCTGGTTCTACGACTATGATTTAGAGAGTTGAAAGCAAGTAATTGATAGTCAAATTCCTTTTGCAGACATGCTTCACCTGTTCAGAGGGTTGTAATAAGGCAAATCTCGCCCAAGCGATGTGATTGATAAGCATCGCTGGGGCTGGTTATCCAGCGGGACGGCAACGACGGCCGAACTAACGGGTGTTAATCGCGGCCAAATTTATCTCGCCAATAATGATGATGCATGTCTGGATTAGCGGTTTCCCGTATATACCTTAGTGATGCAATATCAAGTATCAATTATTGAAAAGCGGTGGTCCAAAACAGATTGAGACAAAGTCTGAATACTGATACGTGATGTAATCATTAGTTGACCGAAAAAAAGATTATCTAAAACAAGTCAATCTATGTTTATTTAGAGAAGAAAGACGACCACATTGGAGTCGCTGTTGAACGTAGCTTCCATTTTTAAGTTTCTATATTTAAGAGACCTAAGAGACGCTGAACCCGTTCCTTTCAAGATTCAGAGTTTTTTTTTAACACAAAGCCTCCTATTATTTTGCATTTTGCTTTTGATATCATACAACTGTTTGACGAGACATTGTACAGTGGAGTAAATTAAAAGTCTCGAAAAGATGACTACCGCTGCATAAACCGCAATCATGGAAGGCACAACGGGGGTTCTCGGGGGTAAATTGATGCTTTCCTAAGGAATCAGCTGAAGACTTTGGGGAGGAAAAGAGGTCAATTCAATGAAATACCAATCATTGACCTTTCACCGATGACATCTACTTCGGCTACACTAGCAGACATGGACGATCTCATTTCTGAGGTGCGAGATGCTTGCGAGCGGTTTGTATTCTTCTTGATTAAAAATGATGGAATCGATTGGGGTATCACTGAAAACTCGTTCCTCGCCCTCGAAGAATTTTTGGTTTACCCATGGAGAAGAAAATGGAAGTTCACCAATCAAAGTCACCTTCGTATCAAGGCTACGAGCAACATTACTATACGAACGTCGACAGACTTGGCAAAGGCGGTACGTCAACAGATCAATTTACAAAAAAATTTCGTCGCTGATATTCAAGTGTTTAATAGGTTTGAAGGAAGCCATGACTGTCAGGCATGACCGGAATGCCGACGAGAAGGGGGTGGGAGATATGATGCCTGAAGTTCTGAGACGAACTAACCTATGGCCGAATCCCAGAGACGCGCCCAAATCCAGGCCTGTTATAGAAGCACATAGAGCTGCTTGTCTTGATGAGAAGGCTGGCTGGAGTGGTTGCCGTCGCTCTTGGCGAGAAAGAAGACTTCCTTGAAAAAAAAAAAAAAAAAAAAAAACCCCCCGCATATCCAATCGTCTCAATTCGCGCCTTGTACTATCCCCCGCAGGAACCATCGGACGACGAGACGACCGGTCTAGGTGCGCATACTGATGTTCAATGTAGGTGAAAATGCACTTCATCGGAGACTGCTCTATCACGCACTGATCTTGAACAGTGGTGACTATGATTGCACAAAAGCCATTCGATTCTCCAGGTCCGGAGGTTCTTAATGCTGCGGGCCGGTGGATCTCTCCAAACCTTGAACCCGAAACATTCGTATTTAACCTTGGAGACATGATGGGACGTCTCACCAATCACCAGTTTCTCGCCACTGTTCATCGAGTTATAAATAAGACGGGGAAGCCTCGTTATTCGCTCCCTTTTTTCTTTGGCCTGAATAACGATGAGTCGACCACGACGCTCCTCCAGTTTGTAACATTGCCTTTCCTATGCACAAGTCCTTTGGTTATTCAGGGCCCCCAGCATTGTCGGTATTAATATGTGCAAACAGGGCTTTTCACTTGCACATTTTGCATCGCTCGAGTAACAGTAAGACTCAGTTTCAAATCATATTACGGCAATGATCGTTCGATTGTTTATCAGATAAATATCATGCATTGACGTTTCAGCCATCTCACAAATTTTATTACGGGTTGAGCAGCTGCTCGGCCCCCTGGCCCCCCCTGAACCTTCATTATTTGATACGCATTGACCAGCCTGTCACATCCTTGAATCGAGGCCTTGGCCTGCAACGGGCAGTGGCTGAAGATATATTTTGCTCAACATATATACGATAAACAGACTATTCGGCCAGCTTATCTATGCCAAAAGGAGCAATAATTCGCAAGAGGAGAAACCACATATTTTGTCAGAACAAAAACCCCATTGCCCACTAAGAAGGTCTAAATTGTAGTATTCTTGAATAGAATCGGAAAATTGTTTTAAACAGCACTGCATTGCTGCTGATCCAGCTCCTATTGAGGGTTATATATTAATAATTTTGAAGTGCCTTCGGTTTCCAGGTCATTTTATGTTTTTATGTTCCGTACTTCAAGTTTGAGATCATGAATCATGATGTCCTCCAGTTTGGGTGAAGTCCTCTGGGCCGAGCCACCCATTACCAAAGCTGAGAGGCGGCTTGTTATCAAGCTCGATTGGTGTATTATAATATTTGTCTGCTTAATGTATTGGATAAATTAGTTCGTTACGAGTCCTGATAATTCCATTTCAAAGATGCTAAGGAGATTGAGAACAGTCTTGACCGCTCGGTGAGCACAAACTCGTCGATCTTCAATGAAATCTTATCCTGATTTTTGTAAAAAAAATCTCAGCAATGCCTATGTATCAGGGCTCAAAAAAGATCTACGCATGCATGGAACAGAGCTCAATCAGATAAACTCCGGTAAGCAATGTTGTTTCTGGATTTACATTTGAATAACTTGTTGATTGGAACAGTCAGTTTTTAATGTGGGATATACTATGGCGTAAATTTCAAATAAAGTAGCCCTGCAAAGAGTCTCACCTCACTTATGAATGACAATTGCAATGGCAATTTGGGGCATTTTAACATTTGCAACTGCCTTTGTCACGAACTGGCACCAGATAAGGATGATCCGTATCTTCGAAGCAATATTTGAATTTGCAACGTTCGTTGGAACCCACTATGTCCTCGGCAGCTGGTACAATTATGAGGAGATTGGAAAGCGCACAGTCATCTTCGCTGCTTCTGGTGTTGCGGGGAATATGTTTTCTGGCATATTGCAAGGAGCCATACACACAAACCTGAATAGGGTTACCACCCATACTTGCCTTCTGCAAACAAACGAGCTGACGTCCTGCCAACGGATGGGCTTCGTGGACTAGCCGGTTGGTGTTGGTTCATATCATTAATTTACCGATCACTATGCCCGTCGCACTACTGGGGTAGGCAAAATATTTCAAATATAACCGTGCGAGCTTGTTGAAAAGCAGATTTCCTGTTTCCCCAGGTCACCCAGCCACCACGAAGAGTAAGATTCTCATCTCCGAGGAGAAATAGCTAACGCTGGAGCGTCTACCGGAAGTGATTACCACGAGGGGCGTCTTGGGTCGAACTCTCTTCCGCCGTGTGTTCCTGAGCTGGGAGTTTTGGGTCTTGCCCATTTTCGCTGCTATTCAGGGCGACACCGAAATATTTGCGGATAATGCTTGCCTGGCGCTATATCTCAAATATCTGGGCACATATTCCATCAAACAAGTCAAGTATATTCCCACAGCTGTTTACGGTATTGGCATCGTTTCAATTTTGTGCTGCACCTGGTACTCAGACTGGTTCAGACATTCTGGAGGAAGACGGCATACGGGGGTTTTCTTAGCAAGGATGGCCGTAATTAGCAGAGCGATCATGCTCAAGCCTCCGGACCGCAAAGTTCTTTGCATTGTTTCTCAAAGTGGAGCTCGGATACCGCGGCGTTCTTTATGCCTGGGCGAATGATTTGATGCGAAACGAGCCATCGTGATTGGAATAATGAACGCCCTGAGTAAGTGTGCTATAATTTCTGTCGCGCTCCTTTCCAGCCAACTATTTTCGTGAAGTTATTGCGTTTTATATTTGGTGGTCATTAATTTTCTACAACGCTGCACAAGTTCCTGAATGGCACATTGGCAGCATTGCCGGGATTGTCAACGCTATTGCCATGATGGTTAGCCTCGGAGCGGTCGTTCACTTCTCGAGCGGAAGACCAAGCTGCAAGTAATTAATAGCACTGCTGATGACGCTCGCGCGGCTGACGGCACCGTGGAAAATATTGAGAAAACTCCAGGAAGGCAGTAGATGTGTGAAAGCCTCAATACTTTGGCCACTTTCCAACACCTGCTTATATAAGGTGTTATTTGGCGAAGACAATGCGGGTTCGTTTTGATCTCGATAAGTACAGAGCTGAGGTTATACTCTGGTCCGTATGTTTGTCAAGATACCGGGTGATGGTAGATGTCTTTTGTCCAAAGGTTGCGTTGCCATTAAAAAAACAAATAAAAATTTCATATAGGCAAAGGATCATAGTCATGCAAAAGGCATGCAAGAGAAAGCTGAATTAATGATTTAAGTCGCTATAGTAAAGAAGAATATTTGAAATTGAGATCCATCCATAAAGATATTTTGCTCATCTCAATCTAGTCCCAGCTGCTCAAAGTCAGCACTGACACCAAAGACCCGAGGATAACGAGAGAGAATAAGAACAGATATCGAAACTTACCCAGTATCCTTCTGGCGAACAATACCACCTTCACTGCCTGTCTGCTTTCCCTAATCCCAAGTGTCAATGGCTGCTCACCGCCCAAATGCGTAAAGATGGGAACATACCGTCTTCTGTCCTTCCACCACCAAGCGATCAAGCTGAAAGAACTGACTAATAATGGTTTGTCTCTGCAAATATTAAGTATGTTGATTAGCACAGCGTCAAGCACTCGGCTGGAAGATGTATCCCCTTCACATGAAATGCGCACACGTTCCGCCCCGAATAGATCTGAACCCCAGACCCTAAGAAAAGCCGCGAGCAAACCAAATCCAACTACCTGGAGATTGCAGAAGCCACAGATTGGTAAAATTTACCTTCAAAACTTGCAGATCCTTCAGTCCCTTTTGAATCAGCTCCTGCACCCGTCTCGGATCGGTCTCAGCACGGTGTTCATGAAAGGCATCGATTGCTCTCCGCTTCGCATATTCTCGAAAGTTGTAAGCGGCAAATTGCTTGGACTGTCTTAGCAGTGAACGGTACTAGAAGAGTTAGAGGATACATTAGTTTCGTCTTATTGACCAGACTGGAGTCCACGAGAGCAGTGATGATTTATATATGCTTATTGCCGCGATAAGATTCTGAAATTCGCCTCAAGTTAACCTACAAGAGAACGGGCTTGAAATGCCGTTTCACTTCCAACTGCTGCCACCGACATTACAAAAGTTCTCTGAAGGGAAATGCGATGATGGGATATGAATAATAAGCAGCGTCCCGAGTTGAGAGACGGGTTTAAGTCGGAAATTGTCGTCAATCCGCCACGGAGGAGTTGGTACTTTGGCCCACTTGCCTCACGTCCAATCTGCGTAGTCGAGCGCAATCCGAAGTTCGAAAGCAAGACTAACACTCCAGGTGTTACGAAAGGTCTCAAGGTGACAAAATGAAGCTCGAGCAGAAACCTACCGGGCCGAGGGGACCTGTCTTGTATGACGATCTTCTTTAGAACAATTTTCGCTAAACCCCAGATTAATAACACTTATAGGGAACCCGATCACTGATAACCACCATGGGCCCCGAAATAAATTTCTTGGGCACTTCGGGCTTAGATACCAGATACGCACCGTCGCTCTCTACGAAATATATTTAGAATCTCCTAAAGACTTGAGCGCATTGAAGAAAATTAGAAGACATTAGTCTAAATTTGTATTTTATTTGCTATCATACAATATTCGTAACCGCACTTTTTAGAAGCTTCATAGGCAAAATGTAATCTAGAATTTATCCAACAGTCCCTCGCTCTCCAACATTAGAATAATCTGGTGAACAATGCTCCGGACATTGTGCTTTTCGATGTCAACGACAAGGTCAGCTTTGGTCGGGGCCTCGTACGGGTCATCCACACCAGTGAAACCCTTGATCTCTCCTCGTCTAGCCTTAGCATAGACACCTCTCTTGTCAGTCCGTTCAGCATGCTCGAGAGAGGTAGCAACGTGCACGAGGTAGAAGCTGCCAAACTGGCTGACAGTTTCACGGGCTTGCTGCCGGCTGGCCTCATACGGGGCGATGGGGGCAGCAATAACGGCTCCACCAGCCTTGGTAAGCTCACCGGCGACGAAAGCGATACGCTGAATGTTCGTGTGACGATCTTGGCGGGTAAAGCCAAGCTCGGACGACAATTCATGGCGGACAGTTTCTCCTAAGAGCAATGAGACAGCTCTTCCGCCCTGTTGGTTCAGGGTGACCTGCAGAGCGCGAGCAATAGCATCCTTGCCACTGTTCTGGTAACCCGTAAGGAAGACCGTAAAGCCCTGCTGGAATCTGGGAGGGTGTGATTCACGAAGCACCTTAACTACTTCGGGGTAGGAGAACCACTCCGGGATCTCACGGCCCGTGCGGAGCCGATTGCGCAGCTCTAATCATAAATTAGCTTCTTGCAACCATATTTACTCGAATGTAATAAGATGGAGATCATACCCGTTCCACTAATATCCAAAGTGCGCGTGCCGGTAGGGACCTCATCCTTAGGACGGTACTCATCACTATCAGGAAGATAGGTCATCATCTGGAAGGGGACAACTTCAATTCCAAGCTCATCCTTGTATTTCTCGACGGCGTACTGTGCATCATACGGGCCGTAGAACTCCTCGCCTTTCGAATTTTTGCCTGGACCAGCGTGGTCACGGCCAACAATGAAATGAGTGGCACCATGATTCTTACGAATAATGGCGTGCCAAATGGCTTCCCTTGGGCCGCCCATACGCATGGCAAGAGGCAAAAGACCGAGAACGGCCATTCCATTGGGATACCGAGGCAGCAAAGCCTGATAGACCCGGACGCGAGTGAAGTGGTCGATATCACCTGGCTTAGTAAGACCAACAACAGGATGGATCAAGACATTAGCCTGTCGAGCTCGTGCAGCGCGGACGGTCAATTCACGGTGGGCACGGTGCATTGGGTTCCTTGATTCGTTAGCACAACCCCTTGGATTCCGATGCAGTTTTTGAGATACCTCGTCTGGAAAGCCACAACCCTGGTCCATCCAAGCTTCTCGAAGTGAGCACGCAACTCTGCGGGGGTATCTGCAGAGTTATTAGCATAGCCTCGCGGAAGTAACAAATATCAACGAAACATACAGCGAAGAGCCACATAATCGTAGTGATCCAGACGGTTGATGGCGTCCAGTTTGCCTCCAACATAGAACTCCTTTACTGTGTTGTAAAGATACTTGATCGCCGGGTGATCTTCATCCCCACCAAAGACGTGTTGAGCTTCCTTGTTCCTACAGTGCGTTAATATCTTCAGTGCCAGAAGTTCACAATGAGAAGCATACTTGTCGGGCCTGTAAACATCGTCTACAGTAATAATGGCCAGATTACTGTCATCACGGAAGTCGCGGAGGGTGATTCTTGCACCAGGCTTCACGCCCAGCTCTTCAATCGTCTCCCTTGAGATGTCCAAGTTGATAGGCATGCTGAAGAGGTTGCCGTCCGCGAGACGCGAGTCTGTGACAACGCTATCGGTACGTCAGCTGGCCGCAATTGTCAGAAAAGGCTCGATCGAACCTACCCATTATAGTCTTTCTCATTCAGGAAACCTGCAGAGCTCATGTCAATTCCAGAGCCAAATTTGCGCAAATTTCTTCATTGTAAACGATAACTGCTCGTACTCTTGCAAGTGCTAATCCCACAAAAAATGAGGTCCAGTGGGGTTGCAAGAATTGTAAAGAGAGTAAGGTTCAGAGAAGATCTATTTACCTTCGAGAGGAGAGAAGCCACCATTCAGGATCAGCTCCAAATCACACAACTGGCGCTCGGTCAGAACGATAGCAGGCAACCCCTCCGCCTCAGCAGCCAGCTGCTCTCGACGAGGGGCATCGCGCGCAAGGAGATCCTTCAGGATCCCTCCATGAGGCGGGTTTGCCATTTTAAAATTTGAAAGAGGAGTCTAAAGAAGGCTTTCTAGTCTGATGCAATGGATCAAAAGAGAGCCGACAGAAAAGTTGAAGGACGAGGCCTTAAGGGTGTGGATCAACCCCTCTATCGACCGCCGAAGAACGGAGGCGACGGTGCCAGTCGGCGGATTAACTGTCCAAAAGAATCTTCGGGTGCAGTCCGCGGATTATCCAATTGATAGACTTCTGAAAAGGAGCAAATCCTAAGGAGTAAGGTACGGAGTATAGAAGCTGATATTCATTACTGTACCATACAGATAATTTTTGATTCATGCGTAAGCTGTTATCGCCTTTTCCCGAGCACGTCATTCTGGGCTGGCACGCTATTCCATTGTTCGTGCTATACTCCGCCAACCAAACAAGCAACACTATGACCAAATGGAGTTGGTGCGGCCTAGCGAAAGGCTAGATTCCTGGATCCGACCCAATGGATTTCGCGTTCCTGACTTTTACTTTCCAAGGACAGGAACGTTTCGAGGAACCTGTATCGGCAACTGTAAACCTGGAGCGTGGTTTTAAAAAGTACGTACTGGTAGCTTTAGGAAGGAAACAAAAAAAAAAAAACTTATGAGGCAGGGAGGGGAATTAAAATCAAGGGTCGACGTTTCGATGAGCCGCTTGTACTGATAAATTCGAACTAGGTGCTCATCGAGCCTACACCTACCCATTTCATAGTCTCTTAGGAAGCAGTAAAATAAGGACGTTGCCCAATGCTGATGGTCCAGTCTCAGACAGTTGGCCCAGTGGTTTCATTCAATTTCACAGCCAGCTCACTGATTAGTTGTATCCCATTTTAAAATTAAGCGAACGACAATTAGGAATGAATTGCCATCAAGTGAAGCTGAGAAATATCTTGTATTGGGTCTTTAGTCTTGCCCGACTTTGAGGGAAGGGAGGGAATTCGTAAAATGGCCTTGATAGGGGTTTTCGGGTCTCTGAAATGAGACCCTGAATAGCTTGGAGCGTAGCTACCTATGCCAGGATCGAAGAAAGAGCCTGTTCGGCGATATTAAGCGCCAAGGCTCGATCTTGAGATGTCATGCTACTACCTTTGGCAGCCTCCTTTATCTTCTGCAGCCAGTTATACTGGTCGGCCTCAATCTCGGTGCACAGCTGTCTCAGCAATCTAGGAGCGAAGCGACCGCTGGCGTAAATAATTCCTTGTCGTCGACTTGCAAGAAGAACCACAACCAGTGTCAGAAAGAGCCGTGCATCATCTATCGACCCACGAAGTGTCCTGACCATGTCTCGAAGAATAGATAATTTGCGCGTTCTCAAAAGCTCTTCGTCGCACCATTGTATCTTCTCTTTCGTCGCAAACGTTTGCAAGCTCTGCAATAAGCCAGTCAATTTTCTTCCGGGATCGTCCTCAAGGTCATTGGAATTAAGAGATCGTTGAAGTTCTTCTATATGACGAGTGGCGGATTTCCCCCGCAAGAAAGATTCTGCTCGGGCTGTCTGTACTGTCTCCCTAAGGACGGAAGTCGTCATATATCCACAAAGGGCGCCTTGAAGTTCTGCACATAATTTTGCATCGTCCAAGGTTTCAATTGCAGAGTAATGAAGCTGAAATCTCACCATAACTTTCTCGCGCCATAAAGTCACAAAACGACACACCGCTTCGTCTTTCACCTTCTTTTTCTGAGAATTGAATGCAGTCTCCAGCCCAAGTTTGGTTTCTTTGTCGTAGATATCGGAAAGGACCTGAATGCTTACTGCTGGAAATTGTCGAACCTGCTTCTGCTGGACTTGTCGAATGGAAAATTTATCATCCGTGCCATTTTCGGAGCATATTCTTCCCTGCAATTCGGCCTGGACGCGAGCATCCTCCTTGAGGCTTTCGAGAAACGTTTTGTGGAAGAAGACACCGGATATGAGATGTACATCGCCAAGATTTACCCCTTGACGAAGTTGAGACCTTAAAGATGCATATATCTTCTCGTTCAGCCTTTTGGTATCCGTGACAGATAATTCAAAATCAGAGACCTAACAAACGTCAGAACTAGCTTGCAGCCCCAGAGCATCCCAAAAACAAAAGAACAAAACTCACGTCCAATGCAGCGAATCCATCATCCGCAACTGATTTGATGACCGAACGGACGAGGCTGTCATAGTCTAATTTCGCTATCGCTCTTTCCGATAAAATGACGACACGACTATCTCCTTCTTTCACCAAATAGTCCGACACGGAGACTCGATTTGGCAAACGTCTCTGCAGCTCGTCGACAGATACAGATTTGATGGCCCCTGCCTCGAGTCGGCGTATAAGAGTTTCCCTCAGCTGGTGCAAGTAGCATAGGGGAAAGAAGATGACATGGTCAGCCTCGGTGTGGAAGTACCCATCAAACGTCACTCTGGGATCCCGACTGATAGAGTCCATACACCATAAAAGGAAGGCTTGGGATGGAGCGCCAGTGAATTCATTGGAATTGGGCGAATAAGGTCTAAAATTAGTTAGCTAGATGCTAGAGACATGCCATGCCAAAAGAATACTGACCCGGTCGCAGATCGCAGCCGGTTGGTCAATTCTTGTTGCAGTGCTTCTTGGAAGCTTAGGCTGCAGAGCCATTCTTCCGAATATCCGGCATAAAAAAGGGTGTTATCATCACGTAGAAGCGGTCCCTCAGGGTCGCTCAAACCAGCATTCAGGCGCCGTACGAGTGTCCGAAGGCACGCAGCAGAAAGCCCATTTTCGTCGGTGAATTGCGCAATCTGTATGGGTGCAGTCTGAGAGGCATGCAGCAAACACTGTGCAATTTCTTGGTACGCAGGTCTACTCTCCACAGTTAGCATCTGCAGCTTTGACATTGGGCATGTGATGTTGTGTGGGCCCACAAAAGGTAGTGCAGACATGAAGGAACATAATGTCGCCTGACAAACAGGCAGCAATAAAGAAAGGCTTCGACATGGTGGCGGAAAGTAGTGATTCATACATACCTCGTGATGACGGCAGAGCCGCGATCAAGCGTCCAATCGGACAGGTCTTCTTCAGCAGGTAGGCAGCTTCGAATCTCCTCCTCACTTAGGTCAAGCGCCTCTGCAATATCAAAAACTGCAAAACTCCGCGATCCTATTCTCAAGTTACGCTTGATTAGGTTTAAAGCACAACAACACGCAAGAGAAGATGCGGCAACGTACCGGAGTCAATGGTCACCCTCAATTTTTCTCTAACATCCTCAGTTTTTAGCAAACCTACTCCTGAACGCAGTGGAAGTAAAAGCGAGCCTTCAGAGGTTGTGCAGACTTGACTTGGAGGGAAGTGTCCCAGCAGAACTTTCATATCCTCTTCGCCAAAGACAGGCCGATCAGGCTCTGTGGTGTCTCGAGTTGAGAAAATGCTGTGAAACAAGGAGTGGAGAAGAGATGCCATGGGGGAAGGCCGGGGTCATTGGCTCATCAATGATGTGGCCGAGCTAAAGCAGGATCTGTGTTTCGGATGGAAATGTTCAGATACTCCGGTATGAAAACAGAAGCTGCATCAGCAACACGCCTCTATTTGACTGAACTAGCAGGGGACAGGACGCAGCCTGACAGAGAGGAGCTTTATTGATAGACAAAGCGCCAGTATATGCGCCGACCCGTACAAACAGCGCTATCAAACGGCTTAAACAGGTATTTGACGCATTAGTCCAATCGCATATCAAACAGGTGTCGAGGCTAGATAATTGGATAATGAGTATATGCCTGTCCGAAGCTGCCAGATGCCGAGACAAACTTGTCCGGCTGTTTACTTTGCTCAACTGTGCAGTTAGGTGGGGGAAAAAGGAAGGTGAAGGGCCGCGCTGAATCCTGATTAAGCTAGCAGTTTAACGATATTTAGCGGATATGTACTGTTTCTTGGGCAGGACCTAAGGTAGGTTAGGTACCTTAGGCAGAATGATACTGGTTCAAGCGTTGCCTTCAAAGGCCCTTGCTCGGTTGGCATTCGAATGTCGCTGCACGTTCAAGGGACTTTGATGTTGATGATACAAGCAGTCGTATGCAGTACCGTCGGGATTAGAACTCCCAACTAGCGAAGTACTACTCCGTAAACGAGCGCCCCACGTAACGTACGGTCGAGGCGTTTGCCTTAGTTAAGGGATCCAGACAAGCAAAGATATTCCAGGGTCCCAAGGAATCGGCTCGTCCTCCCCCGCGGCTCTCGCGTGGAGTTTCTGCTAAATTAGCTACCAGGCTACGCGTAGGACAGCACAGCGTACTACTCTTAGCTTGTCAACTTAAATTTTGCGGGACAAGAAAAAAAAGGCTCTTTTTGCTGCCGGAGAAAGAGAGTAACTAGACAGAACGATCGTAGAAGCCGGTAATCGGCTCATGCCCGCCTGTCCCTCCGACGTCGTTTCCTTCTGCTCTGCCTCCACAAGCGTCACCTTCTCGAGTCGACATACGATATAGTACAACCTCTACCGTCTACTTCGTCGTACGACCCGTCAGACCGCGCTGTGGTAAGCTTCTTGTTCCTCATCTCTATTCGCTCTGATCACATCAAACCCCTGGACCCGGTATGTTTTTCCTGCGGCCAAGTAACGCGCGATTCCGTTCCCCGACAAGTCAAGCTGTTTCAATTAACTGACCGGCTACCTGCAGCGGACGCTTGCATTCATTCAACGACTAGTTTGAGACCCTGGATTTTGACTGCAAGCTCCTTAGGAAATCCCTCCTAGCGTATCCTTCCCGGCGCCGTTGTCTGCTTAGCTCACATTCCGTGCAGAACGCATTGAACGGGTTTATGATATTTGCCTGCGAAACATTACCCGCATCCTAATCACGGAACTCGTTTTTGCTTGCTAAGCACCTTGGCCGGATTTTCCTCGACGTTCTGCACGCAGTCGCAATCAAGACTTTTCCACTTGTACATATCGGTGTAAGACGTACCTATCGTTAATTGCTTGACCGCTTCGGTGAGAAGGCTGCTGCACCTGGCGTGTATACATATCCGACCGCGCCCACCAACAATATGGCTGCAGACGGGAATATCGATAAAGCGACACGCGCCGAAAGACCAATGCTGAGACATAGCTCCTTGAGCGGGGGTTCGATCCTCCAAGATCATCAACAATATCGCCGCCCTTTCAGTGACCTCGTCAATGACAGACTTGATGAGCATCAATTGCGGGGTGCCACGCCAGGCAGCGAAAGCTCGTCCGAGCCCGACGACGATGATTATGAACAATTCCAAGGAAACCCTGCTGGCGCAAGCGCAGCACGTATCAAGAATGCGGGTATTATTCACACCATGTCCCACAACAACTGTCAGCCGGGGCCAAATGAAGGCGAGAAGATCGTCGCGACTATCTTCTACAGAGCCGATAGAGTGCGGCAGCGACATGCTCAGTTGTCCACTGAAACCGGAGCCCCCTCGACTTCCATCGAGCACTTATCGCTTGGTGCAGAAACCTCTGAGCCCGAGCCGCTTGATCACCTCTATGGATTTTATATCAGCCAGATTTGTTTAACCTACTTCCTCCAAATCCTGGAAGAGCTACAGCATCCGTATCAGCGGCTCACGACTTCTCATCGCTGCCTTGACTCGCAGGTCTACCCCAGAGTCATGGAGATCACATTCTCTCCTCCACCAAACCCGGAGTATCTCACGTTCGAAGACTTGCGAAAGCATGAGAGCATTTGGAGATTTGAAAGGCAGTGGAATGTCGAGGTTGTCTTTCAGAGGGAGAGCGTCTTCAGAAAGCACAAACGCCTTGCCGTGTTCGACATGGACAGCACATTGATCCAGCAGGAAGTCATCGATGAAATTGCCCGGGCGATTGGTGTTGAGAAGCAAGTTTCGGCATGTATATCTCTCCTTTCGTTTTTTTCAATTCTACTAACAAAGTGAAAACTCTAGGAGATTACCGAGCGTGCCATGAATGGTGAACTCGATTTTACTGCTTCACTTAATGCCCGCGTGGCTCTTCTCAAAGGCGTGCCGGGGGATGTTTTCGAGAAGCTCAAAACTGTTATCAGAGTCACCCCTGGTGCTCGAGAGCTCTGCTTAGCATTAAAGCGCCTCGGATTCAAAATGGCCGTTCTCAGTGGCGGCTTTACGCCGCTTGCTGAGTGGCTTGCGGGGGAACTTGGTTTGGATTATGCCTTCGCAAACAATGTATGTGTCTCAGAACGCCTACTTCCTATTTAATTTTGTAGCTGTCGCATTCTTCCTTCAGAGTGACACGGCTGACTCGATGCCCCTAACAGCTTGTGGCGTGTCCTGAAACCGGCAAGCTCACTGGAGAATTGACTGGCAATATCGTCGATTCACACCGCAAGGCCTTCCTCCTGAAACAGATTGCCGCAGAAAACGGCATTCCGTTAGCGCAGGTTATGGCCGTTGGTGACGGCGCCAACGATTTGCCGATGATGAAGACTGCAGGCTTGGGAGTGGCCTTCAACGCGAAGCCCAGAGTTCAATTCGAGGTAAGCTTTTTGGCAGAGGAGCACCGTAAGGTGCTGATTTAAGGATTCATGGACTACTTCTGACTTTTTCTCAGGCTCCTACTCGGGTCAATTCATCATCCCTCCAAGATATACTATATCTGCTTGGATTCAGCATTTCTGAACAACAAGCACTGCTGGAGGTGTCGTAGTCTTGCTATTTGAAGACTCAATTGATCTATCATCGGCTCGGTCAAGCTAGTTACTATCTACACTTAATAGAAACTAGCCGCGATACTACATTGTAATTTTGAATATTTGACGAATAGACGAATAAATTAAAGCATTATGAGGTGCAAAGCTACGTCGCCAAAAGAGAGCGATATTTATATGTGAAAGGGGTTGAATGATACAATATAGTGATTGCCAGAGTTTAAAATATACCGCACATCATCTAGACCGATGCAAAAGCCGCAATTTAATGTGATAGAGCCGACAGCATAGGGTCAGCTGAAGGCGAGATCGGCCTGGAATATCGTTCTCACGACTTGAGATTTGCAGACAAGGCATAGCAAGGGAAAGGGACCTCAGCGGCATCGCAACACTTGGAAGGGCACCAAGTCAAAGGAAGATAAAGGAGCCTGAGCCGCAAATTGTACTACAAAGACAGAAATGAGAAGCACCAATTCAGACCCCGGAACAATGCTTCTTCACGCTGTCCAATGGCAATTAAAATTGAAATTCAGGAGACTTGAATGGATAACTATTTTTAACATTTTGAAATCGAAGGGAAGTAGTTACCTACCTAGTAGGCAAGTCCCAATTTCCAAAGAACGTTATTCATCAGCACATTAACACAGCGTGCAATCTGGCCATGAAATACCAAATATATGCAGTGGCAACAATGTTTGCTATGACTTTCGTTTCCATTCGCCTTTGTGAGGAGACTCATGGAAATATCCTTGCTAAATAAGACTATGTTGTGGTCATAAGGCGTGCATCGTAACATTTTTGGCCGACTTTCCTTCCGATAGATCTCAACATGGGGACGAGGCTCCGACAGATCGTCATTTTCAACATTCCTGGGCTTTGCTTTGAAGACTTCCGTTGTCCGCTCCAGTGGCTGAGAAGGTGTGCGGATCTGCATCCAATTCCTTCTGATGCCATGCTGTCTTGGAATTTTCCGTGCGTAAAAATATCCATTTTGGCCTCAGTTCAGCATTAGACTAGAATAAGGAAACGTTCTCCATAGGAGCAGTTAAAGATTCCTTGACAAAGAGAGCTTCTGCCGCTCTATGGTCCTTTGTCGATGCAGATGGCCCCTTCAAATTTGTTCTATGTCGTCTCGATCTTCATCTTCGGCTATGCTTGTCAGAGCAGTGTGATCAAATATGATGTCTTTGGAGGGAATCTTGCTGGCATATACTAATTTATCAATTTCACAAGTTGCGGTAGTAACAGGCGCTGAGTCTTCCAGAAATACTACCTTGAATGGAAAGTACAAAGCATTGAGTCCGTTGATCTCTAGGACAGGGTGAAAGCGTTGGCAGAACAGGAAGATCTTTGAAAGGCGGCCCTGATAGTGACAATTCATGTAGCGACGTTTCACTCGAATTTGAACGTTCCGCAGTTTGTCCAGCTGTAGAGATTCTACTAGATATAACAGTCGGTTGTTCCTGAGGATGACTCTTGTGTTCCGAAATCCCGGAAACATGTTTATGCGTTGATACTTGTCGGCTTGAAGGTGAAATTAACGATCTATCAGCCCGGGTTACATGTTGGGGATGTTTCTGAGCTGGATGAATACCCCATTGCAACTTGAGGGATGAAGCTTGGAACAATTGCAATATCTTTGTACGATGGCCGGGACTTCTCAACTGACGCTTCAAGAAAAATGTTCGTTGCTTGGTTTTTAGAGAGACGTCGGAATCAAACGAGAGGAGCCTCGTTGATTTTGACTGGCGGAGAAAGATTAATCACGATCCGCTTCCTTGCCGGCTGGCGTCGGGGATGATGAGGTACCTTATTCCGGGTATCATTCATTTCCTCACTGCCTGGTCAAACTATCATATCTGTCGGTCAGGATGTCCTTTTAGAGCGCATTGAGCATGCGAATCACGCGCGGTGGCATGTATATCATGTAAGGGCAACTTGACATTAAACCCGCACGTCAATATGTTCTTGCAGAGGCACAACGAGCGAAGAGCTGAAAAATTACAAAAACGTAAGGAGCTACCATCATAAACACTTAGGTGTCCACGTCCTCAACGTTGTGGACAAGTCGAGCAGATTGCTTTCTAGTATACGAATCAGCATCATCAACTGGTCGGATGCCAATATTAGTTTTTTGGAAGAAAATGATGAGACTTGTCTGTTAAAATCAGTGTCAACCTCGAGACTTGAGTCGAGGACCGGAATCTGTGCAGGAAGTCAATCGCGATGATATACTTCTTGGGACACAACAATCGAGACGCATCATATTTCAAGCCATATGAAAGTATGGATATGGAAATTTCGATTCCTGCTGAGTGCAAAAATATCACGACTGCCAAGCTAATGCAATCAGGAGGGGGTTTTTTTGTGCCTCAGGGGGCGCATGCTGCCTCATTGCTGTGCCTCTTGGCACGTTTCAGGAGAACGAGGGTCGAGCGATGGCAGAGGTTATATAAGCGCATGGGCAAGAGAGCATGGTGGCTTGCAGCAGTGCAACGCAGCACGAGTGAGAGATCCGCTGTTTCTGGCTCTGACTGGTGGGATTTCCGTGACTGTTCAATTTCCACCAGGCAAAGAGCAATTTAACAGCAACGCCACTGGCAGGGGTTTTGTGGCCAAAGGCTGTCGGAAGGGACAACCGGCATAGCTGTGTTCTTTTCAGGCGACTTCCGATAAGTCATATGGTAACGACGTATGGGCTACATTTAACCGGCTGGAAATTAGTCGTTCTGCGCTCTTCGTGCGACACGGAAAAGAAACCGCCTCTAACTACTCTGGAAATGCATTAGCCTTCAATCGATGCTGCTGTGGCCTTACGATCCTGGTCAAAATCAATTCCATTTGTTCCAGTCTGCTTTCGAGGCGGAAATGGCTTCGAAATCCGGTCAACTCCAAAGCTTTCCCCACGGCGAGCTGTGGCGCCTCACCCCACACTCCAACATGGCCAGACCTGCCCAAAATCTAAAGACAGCCCGCTCGTTGCTGAGCTTGACTAGTGGTGATCACTTGAAGATCTGCATGGCAGAAGTCATGTTCTAGCCATCTCTCCGACATTTTGCTTTTATTTCTCATCAGGCTTTGAACTTGTTGAAGGTTCAACACGTTGCAATACTCCGTAAGCACGTGCTATCAAATTGTTTGCGGTATCTCTTCCCTACCTGCATGTTCCTGATCAAAGCTGGGGTATATACCGTCAATCCCACAATTTGAAATACCATCGGCGTACGACTGGCTCGATATCGGAAAAATTGAGCAAGGACCACCAGTTTTGGCCTCTACGAATCTGTTACCCAGTTGCTCTCTTTCAGTCATAAATATCCGGGAGTTGCAAAAGACAGTACAAAATAGATTACTTTTAACTTCATATTACGGCCTGTCAGCTACGCGGCATCTCGGCCAAGGTGTCGCTAGCTGTCTACTATATATATCCGGTTTGTGAAAGGTCATCGACCAGCACCCACATCTTAATTTGCTTGGACTCTCTTGCACGGTCCTGACAACGGTTGGGGTAACTCCCTTAAATCATTGCACATCTCGCGTTGATATGAGGAATTTTAGCAGCGACTAGCTGCTGATTGTATTTGCGGTCCCATTCAACCCCCTCTATAGAAGCGTCAGTCTAAGCAATTAGCCTCGGTGGCTTCGTCGGAGCCGGAGTATTGGGCTACTGTCCGGGAATTTGCAGATTCTAGCAACAAAGTTTCCCGTAAAGGTCTGAATACTTGTCACCAAAACATATGATGTCATCAGCAAAGACACGCAATCAGGGAGGAGATTCGAAGGACGATAGTCATTGTGCTGTCTTACTGTGGCCGGAATGCACAGCTTGCATTGGCAAAGAACGTTGTCAGGGAACGCAAGAGAGGAGGGAGTCCGTTCTTAATGGCTTGATCAGCCAGTCTTCTTCACCTACGACTCATTGCTCCGAGACGAATACTCAAAGTGCCGTTTTCTGCGTGCCTGTTTCCGAAAGTAGACATGGCGGCTCCAAACCTAGAGTTGATCTTCGGGATATAGGGGCTGCTGTAGCCGGACCGTCCTCTCAGGGGCCATATACATTTCGACATAGAACTCGTGAGGTGAAGCAGAGGAGTATGCAAAACCAAGGGGGTCCAGGAACTATTGACTCGCTGCAAACTGAAGTGCCGCTCCGGGAACGTACAAATTCCTTCAAATGCAACCAGACTTCTTCAATCGGTCAGAATAACATGCTGCCAGGCTCTTCCAATAGTAGTCGACGATCGCTCCCGTCATTCTATACACACAGACCGGCTGTGAGCACCATTATCGAAGAGAGTTCGGAGCTTATCATTGCATCGAGTTCCCCTTCTGAATATTCTGATGCTGATATATCCGAGCTCCAATATAGTCGCCAAGAACGTGCCGGTCAATGTCAAGCAAAGGCGCGACAGTTGATGAATGATGGCGGAAAGACTACATTCCAAAAGGAAGCCGAAGAGGAGCAAGCATTAATCATTGAATCTTCTCCGAATTCAAAGCACAGACGTTCTTTATCTTTGTCAGGCCATATCAACCGTTCCAGTGCAGGAGTCTCGAATCATCTCCAGCAGAATATCCATCAAGTTGCTCTTATCATATCTATTGGGGAGGAAGAAATGCCCACTCAGAGACCTTCTATGTTCAAAGACGCTTCCAGAAACCAGGCGGGAGCTGATACCAGATTGGCCAGTTTGCCAGCACTAATTCAAAGAGCAACAAGGTTGGCCGCATTCTTGGATAGAGAACCAGTTTCTTCAAGACCGACAAGCGAGAGTGAAAAAGGCTCAGTGCCAGGAACATGTAGTAAGATTTGTAATCCGCCATGGTTTATTGTACGCGTGCGTACTAACCTTCGAAGGTTTCGAAAAACGATCAAATTCATTATCGGATATGCTTGCATCTTTTCCGCCGCCTTGTGTTTCGACACCGACTGAGCGAGACCTATATGCGACTCACTGGCCGTCGTCCCTAAGAGGTCGTACATTTAAGCAGCCACGCAGTTCGTTTCAGATCCAGAAAGACACTGAAAGAGGACGGGGAAAGTACTGCGGCTCATCACCCGGTTCTTTGTCCATTGTCATTGGGGTCCTAATCATTGTAATCGCAGCGGCAATTATCGTTCCTCTTCTCTTCACTAAGCTTAGGCATGAAGATGCTGTGAGCCATTCTATTACTACAATGAAACAGTGCCAAAATTCCTTGATCTGTCAAAACGGAGGTTTAAATTGGCTGAATTCCAATCTTTGCCGCTGTCTCTGCCTGGACGGGTTCTCGGGAGAACGATGCGAGATTGCAGATGCTGGATTTTGTTCAACGGCAGAAATTGCTCAGGACTCCAATATTGTTCGAAATGTGACTTTTGGCTCATCAATACCTCAGATTCTTCGGGACGCCGGAGATCGTTTTGGTATATATCTGAATTCGTCTGCCCTTCTTCAGGTTTTCTCCGCTACAAACCTGTCATGTGCGGCAGAGAATGCACTGGTTGCATTCAATGGGAAATCCACACGTTTCGCTCGATCCGAACTGCAATATCCGTGCAACGCTTCTATGCCGTTACCACCAGCCAGCCTAGTTTCCGCCCATATCTCCAACCACCTGCGTCACCGAAGAGCGCGAACTTATACTGTCGTGTCGTCTACTCTTGTTGCACCAACCGCCGTCACGTCGAATGGCATAATATTAGCTGCTCCTACTGCTACCACTCCCTCCACGTCAGCTACGCCGGCACTCTCAACATTAGCAATCAACAATACAGTACTAGATTTTGCTCGAGTTAGCGTTCTGTTTGTTTTACAGCAGTCTATGCAGCTTAATGTTGCTGTTATTGCTCAGGATAATATCCAGAGTTTTCTCGGAGATACTTCTGTCTCGACCAATGGAGTCGTTGTCACTGGTTCTATCATGATTGACTTTATAAATTTTCAATTAAGACTTGGAAATGGCACTCTGTTTGGACGAGGGGCCTGATAAAGCGGAAGAAGCCAGCTTTTATAAAATGCTTGCACATAATGGGCGCTTCGCGTTGTACGCATGTCCGAAGGTCCAATGAGAAATTTGACAAGGTCATCCTTTTTTCCATACCTTTTGCATAATATTATCGTATAACCTTATATTCTTTCCTGGTGAGACCATTTCGGGCAATGCGAGCAAATTCATTCGATACATGGCACGATCAGAAACTCTCTTTTCGACTACAACAGTGGCTCTTTCATACCGGAAATGGATGGGCGCGAGCAGGTGGGTTATTGTATACAAGTAGCTAAATTTTGGCTGCCTGCACAGGCCTTGCATGATTACGAACTACTGGTTTCTTTTTCAGTTGGAAGACGTGTAATATTACTTGTGTTCAAAGTCTCAAGGGATGATCCAGCAAAGTATTGTGTGAGAACAAAAGTTTTGTTTGAACGGAATGGAGAACACGCTCTCAGTAAAATTGCTGCTGATTTGCAATGAAAGGGCAAGTATGATGCCATGAAGGCACTATGCAACGATTTTGGGGGCGAAATACAGAAATGCGGTAGCGCTCAACACGCTGCCATCACGGACGGGGTTCCTTCGCCTGACCTCCACCTACAGTCTGAGCGTCAGACTCATTTCATCCTTTATCCTTTATCCTTCGTCCTTCATTCTTCATTCTCATTCTCAAAAATTAGAACCTCTGGATTAGCGTACCCTTCTGGGTTCATGGCGACTTCGTCAAAGAAATCGAGCATCATCGGATATGATTTACCCATGACACACTCTGCGATTTCTGCCTCGCCGGACGAATACGTGTTGCAGCCGTAAAATGCCCCGTCAATTGGAGTACCTGCGGGTAAATGAGATATTACATAAGCTCGGGCTCTGCGGGAGAGAAATTTCCTGAATGCTGAGTTGGTGATAGTGTTGCTGTTATGCAATGGCCCGCCTAGAGCGATAGCGCTGATAAACGATTCGTAGCGGCTCCCTAGATGATGATGGATTCGCGTCAATACACTCTGCTGCTTTACAAGAGTCTCCCGCAAACATGTAGGAGCAGGAGCATATCATGTGTGTTTATAGCGCGGGGTCGAGAGTGCAATGAAGTGGCGGAGTAGTGAAGCGGGGACGGGGACGGGGACGGAGACGGGGTGGCAGCGGAGCTGTGAAATAGTTAAAAATTCCAACATGTGAGCAACTCAGTAGAACTTACAGTGGTCATCGAGAAATCTCACAAGCTCTAGAGCGCCGTCTGTCAGAGCAATAATGTCGATTGCAGGAAGTTTTCCACCATCCGGCCTGCCAAAGATCAAAGGATCGACAACATCTTTAAAGACACTTCCCAGATGCGCAGCATAGTCCTCATGGCCCGGGACGCGGTTGTGCACTTCATGTACGAGCATTGGTCCGTGGACAGCGGACTTGCGAGGTAACGAAAACCAGCTTGTCAGCGTCATGGCTTGCTTCCCACGCCGATGCCAGATCAATTGGCCTGGATTAGCGATGACGATGCCCGGAGAGTCGCTGACGTCCTGATAGACTATGCGAGCAGCTGTTTCAGCGCTCTGCACAACTTCTTCTACTTCTTGGAGCTCGTCCTTGACGATGTCTGCCGTGGCTTTGCCCTTGGGACAAGGGTTCGAGGCGTGACACATGACTTCTTTGACAAAGTCGATGGCACTGCCGACGGCAAGACCGCCCCGCTCGGATCGGGTGTCTCTCCATGCAAAGATACCTAGATCTTGACTTGCTTCATTCAACACAAGAATGATGCGTTCTCGTGCTTCGAGGTCGTTACTGGCTAGGATTGGGATATGTTTTTCTTTTGGCCCAGCAGTGCGTGGAAGCCGAAGCTGAGTGAGACCTAGGGCGGAAAGACGTTCAAAGATGATGCGTCGAAGACAAACTACCGCAGCTTTGTGAGTAGACGGTTCTATGGATTGAAAAGAGCAGCTGCGATATAGAAGTGGAAAGGCGGGAAAGGGGGGCGAGGAGTGGCGAAAGGAATAGGGACGGGAGAAACACACTGTGCATTGCCTCGCGGTGTCTCTCATTGTACCGCTCATTCTTGGTGATAAAGAACTCGAATTCCTTTTCCGGATTGGCGATCTGGCGTATCTCGTCCTTGTCATTGATAAAGTAACTGTATCATAAGATTGTAAGTATCCGTGTCTTAAATAAAGGCTAGGATTTTCCCTTCGGGCTTTCTTGCACGGCAACTGGCAATGATGAATCGGCGATGACTGATATCAACCTAATTATCAACATACCCAAGCCCCTTCAGATCCAAAGGGAATTCGGGGTCTTTTGGAAGACTGCTGCTCAGGCGTCGAAACATGCTGCGTCACAAGAAGAATGATCTTTCGCAGCCGAAAATGCAACGATCAAAGCGAACAATGTGAAGAGAAAGAGCAGAGAACATGCAATGAAAGTTTCAGAAAACGTAATCGCTGAAGAGGGTTTTAAGCGCAAAGAGTGAGAAGGAAGAAGGCGTTAAGTACGATAGTAGTATGCAATTGTGAATGTTCGAGCGGGCAACAATTCAATTAATTCGCAGGTGCTGCGTCAACGGATGTGAATCCGGCAAAAAAATGAAAGGGAGAGTCTAAAAGAAAATGCAGTAGTGTATTCATTACGATGGATGGATGACAGTTTCATCGCTATTGGCGTTACGTATGTTTGCTCTCAAGTCGTTCGTTTGACGCCGCCATGAGCAGCGGAAGCAGCCGGTGCAACATACAGCTACACTCAAAAGGCCCATTGTCAAATTTAAATCGAGTGGCCGATTTATGTCAAATACTAATCACAAGGACAACATTTTCTCACAGTCATGGTCGTTACTATTTCGACAATTATGATTTTGACGCAGCATTAATTTTCTGCTATCAGGAGGTTTATCGCATTCAAAGGCAACTAATATCCCTTTCTGCCTCTTTCTATATCATTCTTTTGAAATGGCATGACACACCAGAACGCCGCTGATCGTAGGAATATACAAGAAAGACCAATACGCCAGATTTTCTTCAAAGACCGTCTACTCGGCATAAGAGTACAGCCGCTGACGCTTTTCCATAGCTCTACCAGCTGGCTTTCTTGACACCGGGGAGGTTTCCAGCAAGGGCGTTCATCCGGAATGGGAACTAAGAACCAATATCAGCATTAATCGTCCGATGAAAAAGAAAGCGAACAAGCCCCCAAGGTCCGGATTTGCTCATACCCTTGCCATTCTGAAATCACTGAAAACACCCTTTGCCTTTCCTCCTTCTATGCATCGATTCTTGATCTGCGTGCTCCTTGTATAGGCATGCATCTGCGAAAGCTCAAGCTGAGCCTGGGCGCGAGCGCGCTGGGGAAGAGCCGTGTTGCGAATAATGTAACGGAGCGCTTGTCTGTGGGTAGTAAATTAGCTTGACGTTGCTATTTCGCCATCCTGCTCCCTCCATATGCACACCAGCCAATTGATGACGCGCGGGTTATCAGGGTCAAAATGAGGAGCGATGTCAATTTTTCAAAACCAGATTTTGCTTCTCACCTTTCAGGTTCGTGCTCTGCAAAGACTTTGCGCTTGGTGTGATCCCGTAGTACGCGGACATTGATGAAGCAGCTCAGATCGAGCTTCTTGGCCCGAAACTGTGACATGGTGGACGAATTAGAGCGATTGAAACTTTTTAAAGACCCAAAGGCAGTGAGATGTTTCAATAGGAATAGTCTTTCCGGCAATTAATTGACTCCTGATCCATGGATATGCGTCGCCTGAGATGCTCCGAGAGAAGTTGGATAGATGACTAAGCTGTCCTAATTCATCCGCTGTCAAGCATCAAGACGCTGTCAACAGCTTGCAAACAGAGTATTACCATACGGTCTAAATTTTTATTTTTATTTTTTTAACGAAAGGATCTTGAATGAAAATTCTCTTCAATTGTTCTCAAAAATTTTTTTTGTCACATGCCACCATGACTAGGCGGCTCCTACAGAAATTTCGGATTCTCCACGTGGTCAAAGCGTGGATGTGCCACCACGATATCCAATCCAGCTTCCTCCGCCAATAAGGCATGCGTCTGGATCAAGGGAGAGGAGACATGCAAAGCGTAACTTAGACGGCAACAAGGAATGAAGATGAGACCAACCAAGGCGGCTGACGATTTTTTCGAAAATGTCTACGTTAAATGATTATGGTGGCCTTTTCATCGTTCGTGGTTTGTGGCACCATCTTTGAGCATCAGAATAAACTTGAGAAAATCAGTCTCCACGATATGAAAATGCAGAGGCAACATGTAGATAAATATGGGGTTGGGTCAAGATGGCGACTCTCATTGGCCAACTAAAATGGCAATGGCGACCCTTCATCAAATACAATTGAAATTGAGCAAGAGAAGGACTCATATTAAACTTATAATTATCCTGTTTCTTCCCAATAAAGACAAAAGACAGGTGACAAGTGGTCACGCGGACGTAATAAAAGCCTTCAGAGTGAGGAAAGCATATTTGCGCGCGGCGTAGTAGAGTGCTAACTACAGCTAACTAAACGTATACCTAACCGCGTAACTTGACCAGAATGAGAGCCGAAATAACTAGGAGGGAGGGTCTGCGTCGGTGTTAGCATCAAAAGCCAGACCAGAGGGGGAGAGGCTGCCTCACATTGCACGGCAGTAATATTAATCATCTCATAAGAGCTGCCTGGGTCATAGTTTTCGAAAATAACATAGATGAAGTTGTAACTGTACTCTGACTGATCGGTACCGCGCCAATATACAGCGGTACCCTGGTAGAAGGTCGAATTAGTCCAAGCGATATGGTTGGCTGCATCCAACGCCCATGTTCGACTAATGTCGGGGTCAGTGTCTGGGGAGGGTGACATATCCGTGTAGCCATATCCGGCTTCACCATGTTGGACACATATAATACCCCCGGTCCCGTTGATATGCACCATCTGGCCGTCAATAATGGAATATGGGGCTGCTGAAGCTACATCTGCATGGAGAACTCCATCAGTGCCAAGGTAAAGAGGCTCATTTATTGTCTGAGACAGATTAATTAGCTAAAATTACAAACATATATTAAGGTATTCCGCCTACACCACCCGTCCCTTGGATCGCAAAAGTTGGTAGGGCCGAAGTTGAAGGTGAAGAGACCGGCAGGGACGATACACTCGAGGGTATGTTCTTGCTCGAGATACTGATTGAATGGCTGCTGGGGAAGCTTTTGCTCGAGATGCTGATTGAATGGCTGCTCGGGAAGCTTTTGCTCGAGATGCTGATTGAATGGCTGCTGGGGAAGCTCTTGCTCGAAAGACTAGTGGAGATGCTCAAGCTAGACGGAACGCTAGATGTAGGGGGCACGGAGGTCGAGCTAATAGGCAAGCTCGAGCTTGAATAGCCAGGACAGTTTGATACTTTAACTGGGTCAGTAAAATGTCTGCAAAGATTGACGGGATATCCTACCTTCCAAACCGCTCAATGTCACCGCGTTACAACCAGATGGGAAATCACCCTGGAGAACAACAATGACAAGCCCATCCGACTGGGAACAAAATCGAGCAACGCCATTTTCGAAGAGTGGATTGGACCACACAAGCGAAGTTCCAGCATATTTCCACGTTCGCGAGATTTCCCCGCCCTCAGCTACCCCAACCAAAGGTTGTGAGGCAGTCCCAGCGGTAGTGGTAATCAGGCCGTTCGCACCAAACAATTGGCCGTCAACAATTTGGAAAGATACCCCGTCCTGGCAATTGGAAACCGTTGAGCCATTGGCGCTGATATAAGAACCTTGAACTGCTTGCCGCCGCACGACTCCAGAAGGCTGCGCCGGTGTCGCATTGATCACAACCATGCCACTTGGAGTGCTGCTTGCGGATGACACCGATGACACCGACGACACCGATGACACCGATGACACCGACGACACAGATGACACCGACGACACAGATGACACCGACGACACCGATGATACCGACGACAC